TGCAACGCGAGTCAACCTACAATTTTAGCTGGTGACTTCATGGAAGATCGATACAATGGGCGATACTAAAACCAACAAGAAAGGTAGAGAAATAGAGGAACTGATAAACACAAGTCATCTCGAACTTCATAATGAAGGACGCAACCCTACATTTAGGGCCATTCGAAGAGGAGTTAAACATCACTCAATCATTGACCTCACCATAACCAAAAATCTCAGCAACCTATGCCTAGGGAATTGGCAAGTCAGAGAAGACCTATCAACTCTCTCTGACCATCTACCGATCACCTTTGAAATAAAAGTAAACCCCTGTTCACAGGCGAGAATGATGACCAAGCTTTATAACACTAGTGCAAAGAACCTCGAAAAATTCAAAGAAGGATTGCAAGGAAGGGACATCAGCTCAATATTGGATGAAAATGATCCTGATATCGCTGCTATGAAGCTAACGCATGAAGTTACCAATGTCTGTAGGGAGACACTACCGAAATGGAAACCAAAACCTTTGGGACAGAAATATGACAGCCCGGAGATAGATGCTCTTCTCAAAAGGATAAAAGCTTTACACCGCTCATTAAGGAATACGAGGAGGGAATACACAATTAAATTTATAGCAAAAATAAATACACTCAGATTGGAACTTAAAATCAAAATTCAGGAGCAAAATGCACAGAGATGGGAGATATTTTGTGAAAAGATAACCCCTAATGATACTTGGGATATCAACAAGCTACTGCTTTATACACCAACACCGGAGCCATCACTTATTAAGAATCAAGACGGTGATGTAGCCAACTCGGAGGAAACAACCAGACTGCTCATTGAAAGAAACTTCAAGACAGATGAAGGAGAAAATGATGCTTTACATCTTAAAGTCGTAGATGAAATGAAAAGGGAATATAATTGTGAAACCTCTCTTCCCTTTACAAAGGGTGAAATGAGTGACATATTTTCTAAAACTGATGGGAAAAAGGCACCAGGTCACGATGGCTTCAATTCAAGAATCTGTGAGACAATTAGATCAGTCAAAGAAGATGTCCTATTACACGTTTACAACCTTGCGCTAAGAGAACAGATATTCCCCAGGATCTGGAAGAAGGCCATTGTTAAAGGGGTATCTGCCACCAAAAATCGACCTTATTTGATTTTGAAAATAATTTGATATTATGATAGGGGGGTTCAAAAAACACTGTTGACTTTTGTCAAAAGTCTTTTAGGATGACGCGTTCGGCCACAATCGCGCTTCAAAGTTGAAACAATTTTGGGTAATTTTTCGTAAACTTATCAAGCTAGAGTGCTGAAACTTAATATACATATACATATCAATGTACTCTAGCGATCTACAGAAGGAAAAAGTTCTACAATGCCTTGATCACGTTTTATCGCTATTAAGTCGTTTAACTTCGAATGAGTGTCAGATGGCCAGATCATGTTCAAAATTGATTTCGATTAGATCAACATTGTTCTTTTAGTATAAACAAAAAATGTACAGCGGCTTTTTACGATATGACATTTATTTCGTCTGTTTCTAAGAGTGGCCTCTTTCTGGTCGGTACCTGATAACTTTTCAACCAGTTGACATATTGACATGAGACTTACACCAATGCACTTAAAATTAACTGTAAAGTACTGGATAAAAAGTTCAAGACCATTCAAGGTCATTTTCAAAATTCATAATTTTTGGTAGGACGCATAATTGACCATGGTTTTGAAAATGATCTTTAATACCCTTGCACTTAATATATAATAATAATCAGTCAAAAATAAGCTTAAAGGTGTAAGTCTCATGTCAATATGTCAACTGGTTGAAAAGTTATCAGGTACCGACCAGAAAGAGGCCACTCTTAGAAACAGACGAAATAAATGTCATATCGTAAAAAGCCGCTGTACATTTTTTGTTTATACTAAAAGAACAATGTTGATCTAATCGAAATCAATTTTGAACATGATCTGGCCATCTGACACTCATTCGAAGTTAAACGACTTAATAGCGATAAAACGTGATCAAGGCATTGTAGAACTTTTTCCTTCTGTAGATCGCTAGAGTACATTGATATGTATATGTATATTAAGTTTCAGCACTCTAGCTTGATAAGTTTACGAAAAATTACCCAAAATTGTTTCAACTTTGAAGCGCGATTGTGGCCGAACGCGTCATCCTAAAAGACTTTTGACAAAAGTTAACAGTGTTTTTTGAACCCCCCTATCATAATATCAAATTATTTTCAAAATCAAATAAGGTCGATTTTTGGTGGCAGATACCCCTTTATACCCAAACCTGGTAAAACTGATTATCAAGACATAACATCATATCGACCTATTGGACTTCTCCCTATGCTCAGTAAAGGCTTAGAGAAGTTAATTTACAATCGTTTAATTTGGCATATCATGAAAGAAGGACACATCAGCGATAACCAATATGGGTTTTTACCAAACAGATCAGCAGAGGCAGCTCTTATTACACTGCATAATAAGATATCATCGAGCATTGAAACCCACAGATATGTCCTCCTTATATCTATGGACATACAGGGAGCTTTTGATAATGCATGGTGGCCCATGGTCAAAAAGAGACTACGTGATATTTCAACCCCGAAAAATCTGTATATGCTTCTGTGTAGCTACCTTAGCGATAGGGAGGTGGAAGGAAGACACTTGGGAACAAAGTTAACCTTAAAAAACATGAGAGGATGTATTCAAGGATCAGTACTTGGCCCTCTACTTTGGTTACTATTGATTGACCCAATACTCAAAGACTTGGAGAAAAGGGATGATACCTATGTACAGGCATATGCTGATGACGTGGCCATATTGATTACTGGTGATAACAAAGATCAGGTTGAATCCAACTCCCTAGCTGCCCTAGCAATAGCGGAGAAGTGGGCGAAACTCAACAAAATGCTATTCTCACCATCAAAAACAGAATACATGCAATGTGGATTTAAAGCTCCCACAGTGTGGAATTTAACTCTAAATAACCAACCCCTAAGAGAAACGAAAGAAATCAAGATTTTAGCGTAACTTCGACCTAAGTAAATTACACTAAACATGTACAAAA